ACAACAAGAAACAAGATGGGAACAATAAAGAGATCTTAGGGCTTCTGATGAGTACACACTTCCCGCCGAGCATCACAACACACGTAGATATACCGGAAGATAGAAGGATTGAGACTGAGGAAGCACCTAAAACTGATGAATCGATGGTAAAGGAAGTCATCAGAAGTTTCAAACCGTTTAAGGCAGCGGGAGCAGATATGATCTTCCCGGCTCTGCTCCAAATAGAAGTGGACCTTATTTTATCAATCTTAGCCGGAATTTTCAACGCGTGCTTAAAGTTTCCATATACCCCTAAAGCCTGGCAGAAATCGATGGCAGTTTTTATACCCGAACCTGGTAAGGCAAGCTACGTAGTACTCAAGTCTTATCGACCGATAAGTCTAACATCGTTCTTACTCAAAACCATGGAAGGTACAATCGACACCACAATTAAGAGCAGAATTGCAAACGATATGCTTAAATACAAACAGCATGCATACGTTAAAGGATGTTCAGTGGAAACCGCATTACATGAGGTTGTACACCACATCGAGAGCACCTTCCATAAGAAGATGTATACACTAGCAGTATGCATTGACATCGAAGGCGAGTTCAACAACGTCAGCAGAGATACACTCATCCAATCCTTAGATAATTTTCAGGTCGACCGGACCCTAAGGGACTTGATAAACCATATGCTAAGGAATAGATGGATAAGCTGTGGGCTACATGACGTTAACGTAAGGGTCAAATTTAGTCAAGGAACTCCACAGGGAGGGATATTATCACCTGTTTTGTGTGTTACAACAAATAATAGTCTTTTAAGGACTTTGACCAATGAAAGCTTTGAACCCGTCTATTATGCAGACGACGTTATAATATATATAATACTTCTGCACTTGCTGTGCAGAAGGGCCGAGTCGGCTATGAAACTTACATACAACTGGGCCAGACCGAGAGGTCTTAACGTTAACCCGAAAAAAAAACTGAGGTATGTCTATTCACTAGGTAAAGAAAACTGGGCCATATCGATGAATCGGTCTTCCCGAACAAGACAATCAATATTTCCAATAAGGTTAAATATCTTAATTGGAGCACCACATCTAAGAAAGAGCAAATAAAGCTCAGAGGTGTTGGGCAACGTGAAAAGGGCTATAGGCTCTAAATGTGGTTTCAATCCAAAGATGACACACTGGCAATTCAAACGCATAATTAGACCTGTTATAATATCGGTAGTCTGGTGGACTGCTATGGATAAAAATGTAATATGAAAATACTACAGAAAGTTAAACGAATGTGCTGCTTAAGCATCTGCGGCGCAATGAGGACCACACCAGCTAGGGTATTAAAAACCATCCTATTTGTGCACACAATAGAAATTCAAGCTAAGGGCGACGGACGACGTACGAGTGGATAAACAGAGGCCACGCTACATACAATCAAACAATTTTACAGATAACAACAGAAGAATCTATAGAAAATTTTGTACCGGATTGGATATCTGAAACTTTTGTAGCTGCCTCATGTGAAACATTAATCCCTACCAGAGACTCGTGGATCGACGGATTCCTACCACAAATGCCGATTGCAAACTGTTGTTATGCAGACGGCTCAGTGCTAGGAGAGAGAGCGGGACTGGGACTATTTATCGAGGATACAAACACCGAAATCTCTTTCCGCTTGCCCGATTACAATACGATCCTGCAAGCGGATGTCCGGGCCATTGCAGAGTGTCTGAACTGTCTTAATGCCAACACGAGACAGGCTACCGTAAACGTCCTAACAGACAGCAAGACAGCTATAAGGACAGCTATAACATCTAAAACAGTAACTTCAAAAACTGTTTTGGAATGTATAAATTCAATCAACAACTACTCTCAACACGGCGTAATACACATTATATGGGTACCAGTTCATACGGGAGTTAGGGGTAACGAGATACCCAACTCTCTCGCCAAAACAGACAGGGAATTAGCAACAATAAACGTAGACAATCCAGTGCCACTTAATGCGTCACATCTAGTGTTAAAGACTATGGAGCAATGAGGGTGTAGGGAAAAACACAAAAATCATATGGGGCGATCCCGATAAGATAAAAATGAAGAACCTTTTATTACTAGGTAAAAAAAAGATCAATGAGGTAACAGACATCCTTACGGGGCACATGGGCCTACAAGCTCATCTGTACAAGATAGGATGTGCAGATAACAGCATATGCAGGGCATGTGGGAAAGATGACGAAACACTGGAACATTTTCTCTGTCAATGTCCAGCGTTTGCAAATGTCAGATCCCAATTCTTAGGGAACGACTCCATACAAGACCTTAATCAGACCATGGTAAATGATATAAGTACAGTTAAGAAATTTCATAAGGGCAACTGCATTTCAAATATAACAGACTGTAAACTGCCCGTCTTCTTCTTCAGAAAAAAACCCTTAGTCTACAGCGCACAACAGGCCTATACTGGCTTAAGTGTATGTCCAACACGGTGAATTGCTTCGCCCCTTTTTTATACCCTCCACCATACTATGGAGGGTATATTAATTTTGTCATTTCGTTTGTAACTCCTCGAAATACTCATGTCAGACCCAACAAAGTATATATATTCTTGATCAGCGTAAAATTCTAAGACGATTTAGCTACGTCCGTCTGTCTATCTGTGTGTCTGTCTGTCTGTCCTTCTGTCTGTCTGTCTGTTGTAATCACGCTATCTTTCGAACAAATTGAGATGGAAGACTAAAATTTTGCACACATGTATATTTTACCAGTAGGCAGGTTAAGTTCGTAAATGGGCCATGTAGGTCCAAGTTATCATATAGCCCGCATATAACGATACCTCCCGATATCATTGCGCCGCAGATGCTTAAGCAGCACATTCGTTTGACTTTCTGTAGTATTTTCATATTACATTTTTATCCATAGCAGTCCACCAGACTACCGATATTATAACAGGTCTAATTATGCGTTTGAATTGCCAGTGTGTCATCTTTGGATTGAAACCACATTTAGAGCCTATAGCCCTTTTCACGTTGCCCAACACCTCTGAGCTTTATTTGCTCTTTCTTAGATGTGGTGCTCCAATTAAGATATTTAACCTTATTGGAAATATTGATTGTCTTGTTCGGGAAGGCCGATTCATCGATATGGCCCAGTTTTCTTTACCTAGTGAATAGACATACCTCAGTTTTTTTTCGGGTTAACGTTAAGACCTCTCGGTCTGGCCCAGTTGTATGTAAGTTTCATAGCCGACTCGGCCCTTCTGCACAGCAAGTGCAGAAGTATTATATATATTATAACGTCGTCTGCATAATAGACGGGTTCAAAGCTTTCATTGGTCAAAGTCCTTAAAAGACTATTATTTGTTGTAACACACAAAACAGGTGATAATATCCCTCCCTGAGGAGTTCCTTGACTAAATTTGACCCTAACGTCATGTAGCCCACAGCTTATCCATCTATTCCTTAGCATATGGTTTATCCAGTCCCTTAGGGTCCGGTCGACCTGAAAATTATCTAAGGATTGGATGAGTGTATCTGTGCTGACGTTGTTGAACGCACCTTTGATGTCAATGCATACTGCTAGTGTATATATCTTCTTATCGAATGTGCTCTCGATGTGGTGTACAACCTCATGTTATGCGGTTTCCACTGAACGTCCTTTAACGTATGCATGCTGTTTGTATTTAAGCATATCGTTTGCAATTCTGCTCTTAATCGTGGTGTCGATTGTACCTTCCATGGTTTTGAGTAAGAACGATGTTAGACTTATCGGTCGATAAGATTTGGGTATTACGTAGCTTGCCTTACCAGGTTTGGGAATAAAAACTGCTTTCGATTTCTGCCAGGCTTTAGGGGTATATGGAAACTTTAAGCACGCGTTGAAAATTCCGGCTAAGATTGATAAAATAAGGTCCACTTCTATTTGGAGCAGAGCCGGGAAGATCATATCTGCTCCCGCTGCCTTAAACGGTTTGAAACTTCTGATGACTTCCTTTACCATCGATTCATCAGTTTTAGGTGCTTCCTCAGTCTCAATCCTTCTATCTTCCGTTATATCCACGTGTGTCGTGATGCTCGGCGGGAAGTGTGTGTAAAATAAGGTCCACTTCTATTTGGAGCAGAGCTGGGAAGATCATATCTGCTCCCGCTGCCTTAAACGGTTTGAAACTTCTGATGACTTCCTTTACCATCGATTCATCAGTTTTAGGTGCTTCCTCAGTCTCAATCCTTCTATCTTCCGGTATATCCACGTGTGTCGTGATGCTCGGCGGGAAGTGTGTACTCATCAGAAGCCCTAAGATCTCTTTATTGTTCCCATCTTGTTTCTTGTTGTTGAAAGAAGCTTTTTTTATTTTTGAAACATCATTCACGCTATCATCCTGTTCGCAGAAAAGCTTCTAGGAGTTTCGTTTAGCTGTTCTTACTATTTTGTTATATTCTTTAAGTTTGTTATGGTAGCTGTCCCAGAATACTGCTAGTTTTTTACGCCGAGTTGTGTTTTAAAGTCTTCGGACCTCTTTTCCTTTGTTACGTATTTCCCCCAGCATTCCTCGAAAGACTTTACTAGGTTCTCCGTTAACCTATTGGCATCTCTGTCTACGTCGTCTGTGCTTAGGCATTCAATTTTTCCACGCCCTAGCCTCTCTTTTACTAGTCTCCCATACTTCATCCAGTAAGTCTTGGATTTGTTCCGGAAACGTATTGGGTTCGGCGGCGGCCGTGTTAGTTGAAACCTTATATACCTATGATCCGAGAAAGAGTGTTCTCGCAAAACCCTCCAATTCTGAATCTCGTTTATAAGATTTCATCAACAAAAAGTAATGTCTAAAACCTTGTCCCTAATTTAGTTTACAAAGGTCGCTTTATTCCCAATGTTAAGAATTATTAGGACGTTAGTATTTAGACAATCTAGTAGGGACTCACCCCTTTTATTAGTGTTAGTACTACGCCACGCAATGCGGTGATAGTTAGCATCGCTACCTACTAGAACTTCGTTACCTGATTGTTTTGTTTTGCTCACCAGTTTTTGCAGTTCCGACGTAGGTGGTAATGTCGGCAGGTATACTGACGCTAGGTATCTGTTTCCATTCCCCTGCCTTAGTACTCTTGCGTTCGATGTTGACAACTCTGAGGAGAAAATAAAACATAAGTTTTTGTGACATATTATACAAGTTCTCAGTCGAGACCCTGTATTGGCATAGAATAGTTGGTAGTTAATATGGTTTAGTCCAGAGACCTTGTTCTGAACTGTCCAAGGTTTCTAAATTAACCAATGTTAATCTTACCTGAATTTATTAGTTTCATCAGAGCCAAGGTTGCCGTCTCGCTCCGATGAAGGTTGATCTGGATGACCTCGATCATTGGTCCTCCAGTAGACGGGCTTTTTGAGAGTCGGTAATTATGTCACCGACTCCCTGTTCTGTGTTGCTTGGGGGGTTTGGCAAAGACTAAGGGCATTGCTTTTTATATCTCAAACGCGTTCAGACTCAAGAACAACAAGGTGAGAATCGGACTAGACGATAAATCCAAAAGTGACAGCGAAAGGAGAAAGAGGAGCTCCAAGCAACACAAAACAGGGAGTCGAAACAGAAATCGAAAAAAATGACATGAATACATTAAAGGACGTTCAGTGGAAACCGTATTACATGAAGCTTTACACCACATCGAGAGCACCTTTTTATAAAAAGATGTATACTAAAGGCCAGCACAAGACGAATTGTATGAATTATGAATCAAGCGCTATGTATTTGATAGGCGATGACAACCAACATCATCCCCCATTTTGATTCAGGTGTGCCATTGTCTAAGGTTCGATCTTGGCATGGCTGACTCGAATATTTGCATGGTGTTCTCCATAAATGCAGGGTGTCGACGATGACATCGAACCATGTCATCGTCAAATTGTGTATCATTTGTGTTCGTGTGCTTAAATTGAGAGAGTGTTGGAGTGTTTTTTTCTTTCGACGGTGAGGATGTGCTATTGTGTGTGCTGTAATTTTGAAGTAACAAACAACGGGTAAATATAAAACTGTATACCAAACCAATAATTAAAAATATTCTTATTATTATTATCTAATAGTAATATCTAGCAGATATGACTCTCATTCAATATCAAAACATGCATAGACATCAACAAATGAATAGAAAAAATGGAATATATACTTGACGATCCCAATTTATTGGTGTCTATCATAAATAATAAAAAAATATTGTTTCCCTATATTCCACCTAAATATAGTGTTCTTTTAAAATTACAGTATGTGGGCAGAGATATGACTCTCATTCAATAACAGAATATTCACAGAATAGAACAATGGAAGTATATAGTGTTGTTTACACGAATTAAAGTAACACTCATTTTCAATTACACCTCAGTACTGGAGGCAAAAATCGTGTTTTTTTTATAAAATTTGTAAAAGTTTTTTTAATAAGTATTGACAATTTGGATGGTTTCGTCAATAACCGTGGACCATTAACTGAAATATGTCAGTATCCCAAATTAATACTTTATTACAAAAAATGTATTTCTTCATACATCGGAAAAAATTGGTAGCGATTGCGATTTGCCTTCATTACGTGTGTCTTTTTTGTTGGCATTTGTTTCATTGTTGTTGTTATGTTTTGGTAGAACATTTTTGTATGACACACTATTCAACATCCCCTTTTAATGGTCATTGCATGTTATGACGATGGGTTTGAGTCTGACCGACATGACGAGACATCTATCATTGGGTTGGATATCACGTATTGTTATGCGTTTGATCCAACAGGGCATAACATGACGAGCGTTTTCCCTCAATGGCATAAATAGAGAAAATTGTCACATTTGCAGCCCTTTAATTTATACACTGGAGGTATGCATTGATATCGGAGCCGCTTACAATAACGTCAGCACAGATGCACTCATCTAATCCTTAGAAACTTCCCAGGTTGACCGGGCTTTAAGGGGTTGCATAAACTATATGAAAAGGAATCGATAGATAACATGTGGGCTATTTGACAAAATTGGCCAAGAAACGCCACCGGGAGAGATTTATTCACATCCCCTGAGGGTTACTACCATAAACAGTCTTTTAATAAGTTTTACCGACGAAGAATTTTAAATAGTTAATGTAATTCCGGAAAAAAACTAAGATTTGTCTTTTCACCAGGAAAACAAAACTGGGCCACTTCGATAAACCAGTCTTCCTAAATAAGACAATCAACGTTTCCAATAACGTTAAATATCTGGGCGCGATTCTAGATAGGAAACGTAATTGGAGAGACCACGCACAAGAAAGAGCAAATAAAGCTCATAGATGCTGGACAACTTATAATAGTATGATTCTTCAAGGGGAGGGAGGCCGGCACCCTAAACGTACTAACGGACAATAAAATCGCTATAAAAGCAATAACATCCAAAACAGTACATTCAAAACCCGTATTGGAATGTATAAATTCAATCAACAACTATTTCTAACACGGCTCAGCACACATTATCTTAGAACCAGGTCATACGGGAATTGAGGGTAACGAGATAGCGAACTCTCGCGCCAAAACAGGCAGGGGGTTAGCAATAGTAAATTTCGACAATCCAATACCACTAAATGCTTTTACATGGGTAAGAAACGCCCATATATCCCTATGGAACAATGAGAGCGTAGGGAAACCACAAAAATCCTATGAGGGGAGATAAAAGTAAGAAAGAGATTAGTGGGGTAACAGTGATCCTTACGGGTCACACGGGCTTAGAAGTTTATCTGTACAAGATAGGTTGTGTAGATAACTGCTTATGCAGTGCATACGGGGAAGAGGATGAAACATTGGCATATTCACTGCCAATTCTCAGCGTTTGCAAATATCATATCGCAATTCTTAAGGAACGACTCCGTACCAGAACCTAAATGAGATCATGGTAAATGAATAAATCGGTTAAGGAGTTTTGTATAGGCAACTGAATTTCCCACCATCTTTCAAAAACCTCTTGGTCTAAGGCGCACATCAGGCCCATACTGGCTTAAGTATATGTCCACCAGGACATGAAAAAAGTCGGGAGACTTTATCATACCGTACACCACAATGCATATTTATTAGAGCTATAGTGGAGTAAATTCGACATCTTTAATTAAATTCCACATCTAATTGAACCAACATATGTGTGTATATTACGGCTGTGGGGGGCTGAAATATCAAATCGGATGAAAAATATATAGTCTGTTCCAGTAACTGCAAGAATCTACTAGTTTTTCAATTTTCTTCGATATCACAAGGGGAGAATCGGTTATCGTTGTAAAAACTTTAAAAACGTTGTAAAAACTTTAAAAACTTAAAAACATTTTTTCAGTTCTGGAACAGACCAATATATTGGTTTTTCTAGCAGTGTATCGTATATGAAATATCTTTGTTACAGAGTGCAAATTCCGTCTTTGTGGGACTTAAATATCAAATCGAACGAAAGACATGTATGAAGTATAGTAAGAATATATGAATATAAGCCCTAAGGCTAAAGTCACTGCTGATTTGGGGTAATATTACACATTTGGTGTACAAAATGCTTGATATCGGACGAGTGCAATATAGTGCATATTACGGATATGTAAACTTAAACGTGAAATCGGATGAATCGTATATATGGGAGCTATAGCTATGCCTGAACCTATTTTCACCAATAATAGTATACTACCTTACGGCCTAAATACGTATGAATTTAAACTCATCAAATTCAAATAAACTTGAACTCAATAAGCAATAAGTGCAAACTGTACATAACTCACAAAAATACTTAGGAAAATTGACGGATATGGGTTTATCTTGCTTCCTTTTGCATGCTATAAACAAATGCACAATGTAATAATACTCTGTCCGCCCTTCGTGGAAGCACAGCTGAGTGCTACCGGACGCATTCACAGGTTGCGGATAGTGGGACGCCCGATAGATGTATCGGACAGCTGCGAATTAAATAAGCAGTCGCGGACAGCTCTGCGGTTTCTGGGGGAGAGTCTCGGACTAAATACTCGAGTCCCAGTGATCCCTGGACTCGACGAGGCGAAGCGACTGGCTCTCTTGAAAAGCAGTTTGCCTCTCCGATCCGTCAAGAAGGTGAGTCCAGTTGGGGACAAGTCTTCGGACAAGGGTAAAGCGGAGAGCAACAACATTCCTGTTGTTAGAATTGCAGCACCAGCTGTTGCGCCATTGACGGAATCCAAAGCGGCTTCCGCTAATACAAAAGCAAAGAAGAGCAGAAGGCGAAGACAAAGAAGATGGAATCTGAAGGAGTCGATGCCTCGGCGGAACCGAATTAGACCAACGCCTTATCTCGTCCAACGATGAAGAGGGGACGTTTAACGGAGGATCCGCAAGGCTAAGAAACTTCAACAGGAAACCCCTCTCCTCCACCAGGTGCGCTATCTACCTCCAATGTTGTGATTGGTACGACTTCTGTAGACCCTAAATCCACTAAAGCCAAAATTGATTCTACCAAACCCCAACCTTCGAACCAGAGTAGCAGGAAAAGAAAAATCTCGTTGGATGCTCATTGAGGACCGTCTGAGGGAGCTAGTTTTTCTAGGGGAAGATCCTAAAAGGCTTCATCTGCTGCGAAAACTTCATTGTAATCGCAGTAGCTGGCTTTCGCGGACTTTGGGAGGGAAGCGCGTTAGCGGCTGTATCCCTGAGGGATATACCCCGTACAAAGGTATTATCAGCATGGGTGTCACAACCTTCTGTGGACCCGGCCCTTGTGCTGATAATACTGGGAAAGCTATCTCTGTACGGACCACTGGTGACTAGTCGCTTCAGGTACAGAAGGTGGAGGCCTTGTCATCAAGGTACCCATTAATACTGCTGGCCAGGAATACTTTCAGGCTCGTGGGGGAAAACTGCATTTTGGCACGGGATGGATCAGATTTCGTCTAAAGACGCTGTAGTAGGAGAAAGGAAGCAGCAGCTGCTCAGCGTAAAACAGTTTAATCTGCATTATTGCATAGCAGCCGCAGCCGAACTTCTCCTATCCCTCACTAAGGCTGAAGTTGACATAGCCCTGGTCCAGGAATCTTATTTATTCAAAAATAAGGCGACTGGACTGGGGAGTGAACGGTATACTACCTACTCTACCTCCAACGGAGAAATGGTTAGAACGTGTATCGTCTCAAAAAATAATTTTGACTTAATCTTCCTTAACAATTTCAGCGAAGAAGGCGCCACGGCGGTTTGACTGGAGACACGATCTGAAAGAATCCTCTTTTTTGTCTCCCTATATCTACCCTACGAACACCCCGACCCGCCAGGCCAGGCAGTTGAAACGCTGTTCACGGAGTTGAAAAACTAGGGCAATCTCGTCGTTGGATGCGTTGCCAATGCCCATCACTTTCAATGGGGCAGTAAGGATACCAATGCCAGAGGTGAGTCTATTTTTGATTTTATCCTTGAACACAATTTCAAAATATTTAACAGGGGAAAGGAGGCTACTTTTCAAAATAAAAATAGGGAGAAGTCATTGATCTCACCCTTACCGAATGCTCCTTCTCGGATCATCGGAAGATAACATTCCAAATATCAGTAGATGGACTTCAACAAAAACCAGATAGAAACTCGAGGAAGGCTTGATGGGACAAGTTTGCGGAGCACACTGCATGGATGCCGAGATCTACTGGTAATCTCCCAGTTGCCTCCGCCTCAGTTGTGGACGATTCCGTAATTTGTAATCTATTGGTAATCTCCCAGTAACAATAATCCTGATTGGGAGCTATGAAAAAGCTTGTCCGCTTACTTTCCCTGCAAAAGATGCCAGTCTGTCTGGTGGTCGAAAGACTTAGCAATCTCTGGCAAGCAGACGCTTATATAATAGGACCAACAAGACCAAACTGAGGACAGACTGGAAGACTTATAAACCAGCCTTCAACAGATACAACAGTGAGATCAAGAAGGCCAAAAGATGGTATGCTTCACTGAGTCTATAGAAGATGTCAATGAAGCCTCCAGATTCCGTAGAGTACTTTCAAAGCGCCCCAAATCCATTGGATGCATAAAACGGAATGGCGGAAACTGGTCTAGAGACTCTCAATCTGTTAGCCAGTACTCATTTTCCGAACTGCACTGACCGGTAAATGACCGAATGGTACATCGATTTAGTCAGCATCGTAGGGCGGAGGATGTGAGTCTGACTGAGAGGATTGTAAGCACTCCCAAGATTTTGTAGATTATAAACTCATTC